ATTGGTGAGTGCGACATAAGCACTAATCATTACTGTCCCTATGAAATGATGAACCTTTGAAAATCTAGTGAAAACTACAATGACAAAGTTCATCTTCTCTCCTGGAAAGCCTTATAAGAGGAAGCAGATTAGACACTGTACAGTGTTGCTGCATTTCTCTACTGAATGAAACAAGTCATATTTTGGGAAGAACAGACAGCTGTATCCCATATATCAAACTGAAAATCCCATGGCAACTACTGTTTCTAGGCAATTGTGGAAGTATGTGTGTGGTCCACGTTCTAGATAATAAATATAAGTGGAAAGTAGAGGGGAAAACCAAATGTTAAGTGGAGGAGAAACTAAAAAAGAGGAATATTTCTTAAAGACTACAAATACACACTCCATTACAACAACCTTAATGACTCTGTGTAAAACTAGGATTTAAAACTCATTAAGTGAAACTAAGATAAAAAATCTACTAACACATTCCATAAACACATGGCAATCTATCACCTGCTTGTAAACCACAGTAAGTGTTAAAAGATAAAATTGGGTAAAAGATGAATAACGTCAAACGTTTTTTAAAAAACAATGAAATCAGCTGTCAAAAAAGTAACACTCTGAGTATTAAATTTCACTTGCATAATACTGGATGGCAAAGTATTTCAATTTCTCAATATTTGAGTGTTTGCCGTAGAATGCAAAATGAGACCAAAGGAAAAGCCCAATCAAGATAATTCCTGACTGTGTTTCTAGCCAAAAACAAATATCCTAAAGAACACAGGTACCAGGCTAGTAACCTGGGGAAAGCTGCTCTCTGGTATACACACGTGACTCCAAGCCACAAAGTCATACAAAATGTGCAAAAAGGAAGAATTCACCCACAGGTTCTGTGAATTCTATGTGTGACGATTATGCACAACTTCTGTCCAATTTTTTCCCTGGTCTTCAAGTGTAAAATAGGGTTAAAATGCTAATTTGTCATCCAGGACATTCTTTGAGCGCTAATTTTATTAAAAGTGCTTCTCATAGACACTTGGTTAGCAGATACAGGGCAGATACAGTTCTGGATTTCTGAACTCAGTTTCAATCCCAGAATGACAAGTCATTTTCAATTCCAGTCAATGTCATTGTGTCTGACTTCTGTCATGTGTGAAATAAATAGCAACCTTATGTAAATAACTACATACATACAATCATCCTGTATGTAACTATATGGATTTCATACAATAATGCATGTTATATGACTCATGTAAATAGCAGCAGGAGCCAAGGAGGACATATGCTGGGACACAAATGGCATTTCAAATCTTTAGGCAGAATTATATCAACATAATGCTCAAAAAGTACCAAGAAAAACTGCCAGAACATTTCTAATTGGGTAGTTCTTTCTCAGAGTGAACGTTTCTATAGAAGTACATTCACCCTTATAAGGAAAAAAAACACAAGGCTTGAAATCATGTGAAAGAGAAGACAGAGAAATTTAGGGACATGAAAAAGGACACTATAGCCACAACAACTGTCTTTGAAACATATTCTTTAGGTGGGTAAAATAATTTTAGATGCAGTAATTTTTAAAAAAGGTTAGGATACATTATTTTACTAACTTGGGTCTTTATTGAATCCTCTTTGGAAACTGCACAATTGTTTGCAAATTTAGCTCAGAAAATCAACAGGCTTTCATGTGAATAGTTTCAGTTTAAACGACCAAATCACTATCCAAATACTTTAATTTGCCAGTATCGAGAAATGCCTTAGTAGACTGAGGCAAATTTTTAAAAACAGACATCCAAAAAGCATAAAATAGATGAAATTGGCAGGTTTTTTTTTCCAAGCTACAGATAAACTGCCTTATCCATAAGCCTATCTAAGGCCAATATAATACCAATGACTACTTAAAAGGACACTAAAATGAAATAAAAGCTCAAAATGAATAAAATTGATGCATTACTGTTATTTATCTCCCCAACTCTATTATTTGGCACTTCACCCACAAGAGGTAAGCATTTTATATTTCTAATATAATGTAAGTATTTCTAGTATTTTCTTTCTGCTTTATTAAAGAATGCTTTGGGAGAGAGGGGGTGGTGAGATTAGAAAAATCAGAATGCTGTAATTCTGTTTAACAGCGCACCCTTGTGGTTTACTTGTTAAACAACAAAAACTACAGGATATGAATGTACCCAATATTCTCCATGGACTTGGAAATTATTTAATCATTTTTTTCTCGTTATTTTTTCCTAGCCTGCCATTATTTTCAATTATCAAATAGGTATAAAATGTCTATAATGATAATGACTATGTTTGATTGAAATGTAAAACAAGCAAGCAGTAAAATAAATAAAATTCACCCATAATTTTATAGTTCTGCTAAATTTCTTGAATATTTGCATCTGGCTACATAAACAACTTCAATTCAGAGGGCAATTTAATTTATATGCATTATGTAATATATATCACATTTTAGTTATTGGTCTTTAATCATTCAATACAACCTTGCCAAAATTCTGGCTTTTATGTAAAATCTTAAGGAAAATATTGCCAAGAACTACCTGGGCCAAATTACTATAAAGAAAATATAAGCAATTTTTAAGTTATCCAAGTACTTCTGAAAATTTACCACACATACATATAAAATACTAAAATTTAGTGATATTATGTGTGACAGACATTCTCACTGTATATACTATACCCAGCTGTGTGGAAGCAATGCTAAAAGTTTACTTATCGATTTCCTTGAACACATACTATGTTACAGAATTTTGCTGGGGAACACAATTCCTGGCCTCTAGTTGGGAAAGAGGAAAGGAAGAAAATTAACAAAGTTAAAAATTTTAAACAATAACATAACCCTAATGTTTATATTTAGAGGATGGGGTACTTACACCATCCCATATTATGTTATACACATCAATGAAATATTATGTAGCCTTTGAAATGAGGAAACCCTTTATGTACTGATACATATCCAAAATACACCATTCAGTACCAAAAGGTGAATTACAACATAGTGCATAATATATGAATACATACACAAGGAAATATTATTCACACATGAGAAAGCAGGAAATCCTGCCATTGTGACAACATGGATGGAGCTGAGGACAATATAAAATGAAATAAGCCAGACAATGAGAGGCAAATAGTGCATGGTAACATTTATATGTAGAATCTAAAAAAGTCAAACTCATAGAAACAGAGAGTGAAAAAGGTTGCCAGGAGGGTAGAGGATATAGGGAGAGGGTAGGGCAATGGGACAAACTTTCAGCTGTAAAATGAATAAGGTCTGAGGATCTAATGTAAAAATGATGACTATAGTTGATAACACTGTTAATAACTGAAATTTGCTAAAAGAGTAGAACTTAAGTACTCTTAGAGAGAGGTGGGGGGCAGAGAGATGTGAGATGTGTAACTAGATGGTGGGAATTCTTTCACAATGTATACCTACTTCAAATCACCATGATGCATATTTTAAATATCTTACAATTTTATTTGTCAATTACGGCTCAATAAAGCTGAAAAGAAAAAAAGAACAAAGGAGAAAGAAAGAAAAAACAAAGAAAGAAAGAATAGAACACCCCCTCAAATTGTGATCAGTTTGTAAAAAACCTTGAATGCCCAGAAAGTAACAGCCAGCTATCCAAAGTCTTGAACTGAGAAGTGCTAATTACAAAATATAAAAGTAGCAACTTGCCACATTCTTTTATTATGAAAACAAAATGTGAAAGACAAGTTAAGTACTGATCTTCTCCTTACCCTCTGCCTGGGTTTCTCTAGGATCAGACTTCAGGAGACAGAATGAAAATGAGGGACAAGTAGACATGGTGAAGAGAGAAGGAGTGAAGGATTGCTCACTAATTGGATATAAAAAGAAAAATAATAATAAACGTCAAAGATGATCTTGAGCTTTTCAATATGGGACAAAAAAGAGTGAGTTTGCTTTCCAATATTCTGATTTCCAGGTAGTGATGAGTCAAGAAGCAACCATGAGTTTAAACTGCAACAGGAAAAATGTTGGACTTGGAGTTACAAAGTTGATGTATTAGTTTCTTAGGGCTGCCATAACACATTACCATGACTGGGTGGCTTAAAACAACAAAAATTATTCTTTCACAACAGGGGTCCTCAAACTATGGCCTGCAGGCCACATGCAAATACAAATATTGTATTTGTTCCCATTTTGTTTTGTTTTTTCAAAATAAGATATGTGCAGTGTGCCTAGGAATTTGTTCATAGTTCTTTTTAAACTATAGTCCGGCCCTCCAATGGTCTGAGGGACAGTGAACTGGCCCCCTGTATAAAAAGTTTGAGGACCCCTGCTATAGAGTATCTATGTACAGGCAGATGCCAGTATATCTCCCTGAGACTCTCTGAGTAAAGTAAAAAACATATATCCAGTCGGAAACTCATGAAAGTGACACAAAGATTGTGTTGCTGCTAAAAGAAAAATGTTCAAAAATGAGTATTTCCATTCCTAATAGATACAAGCAAAAGCCTCCAGTTATTCCTTAATAGGCCAGCACTTTACGGTTTACAGATGACTTATGTTCTTGAATGTGAAAGCTACTTAAAATGGATATATTTATTCTTTGAAAAAATTTCTTTTATTGATTTCAGAGAGGAAGGGAGGAGAGATAGAAACATCCATGATGAGAGAGAATCATTGATCGGCTGCCTCCTCAATACCCCTTACTGAGGATTCAGTCTGGGCATCTGCCCTGACCGTGAATGAACCTTGACCTCCAGTTTCATAGGTCAACGCTCAACCACTGAACCATGCCAGCTGGGCAATATATTTACTCTTTACTGCATCATAGAACTGTACATATCTAGAGAACCTCTTCCCAGCATTAATCTTACGAGTGGCTACTTATTCACCTTATTGCATATTAGTAACTGTTACTAACCTTATTAGTAGCCTATGTGGAAAAAGACAAGTAGGTAAGAGGAAAAATAGATGGTTCTGTGCCCAGCCTAAAACAAAACAAAATAAAACAAAACAAAACAAAATTCCGCACCTTATCTGTCTCATCCACACTCATGGATTTCATGACACCATAAGCTGGCCTCTCCTGGACGTGAGGGAGGTTCTGGGGGACGCTCTGAGAGGCTGACATCGGAGGCAATGGAGCCCGCCTCTTCTTGGGTGCGTCCGACGGCAGGGTGTTCGAAATGTATGTCTTGGAAATGGTATTGGACCTTGTAAAAGTTGGGCGATTATTACTCACTAGAGGGGTCGCTGGGGCACTTGCAGTCTAATAAAGAATGAAAAGGCAAAATCTCTATGTAAATTCAAGAAAAAAAAGCACATGTAATTAAAAACAGATTCGAAGAATCTTATAAAATGATAAATAAGGACATACTTACTTGATCTCGCTTTTTCTTACTGCGCTGAAAAAAGCTGAAAAACTTTTTATTTTCTTTCTCCTTCATAATGTCGAAGTTTTGTGATATTTGGCAGGACTCTAAAATAGAAAAAGAGGGCCTTTTTGTTCATCATATGTTCATGTCCAAGATTTCTCACAATTACTTGCCTTTGAAAAAAGTGTTCTGTTATAAAAGCTACTCTTTATGGTCCACTATGAACCATGTATTCTTCTAGACACCTTATATCTTATTCAATTCTCAAAGTAATGGGTAAATTTAGTATTATTGTTTCTATTTCACAGTGGAGGAAACTAAAGCTTAGAGAAATTAAAATACTTACTCAGGGTGAATAATCAAAAAATTACAGAGCTATGACAAACTCAATTCTTTGTAACTTGAAAGTCTATGTTCCATAAATAATTACCAACATTTCGAAGTACAAAGCTTCAAATTAAATGAGATATAAAATTGCTGTATACAATTTGTCCCTTTGTTTATTTTGAACTATATTTTTGTGTCAGAGCTAAACCATGATAAAATGTTTTATTCTCTAAAACATGATTCATTATAGTTTCTTAGTACTTTATTATATGTTTCATAAATGATATTCCTTTAATCCAATAGTTCTAAACTAGGGGTGATTCCCCTGCACACCCCAGAAGATACTAGAAAATGTTGGGGACAATTTTGGTTGTCACACTGAGGGGTTAGGGTGAGGAGAATGTGTTATTGGTATCTGCTGGGTAGAGACCAATGATGCTGCTAAACATACTACAATGTCCAAGACAGCCCCTCAACAACATAGAATTACCTGATCCCAAATGTCAATTATAGCAATATTAAAAGAAATCACACTTTAATTAGAATGACAAGTTTCAAGCCTCAAGGTAACATATGTAATACTTCACTCTCCAAAAAGTCTTTCTGAATGTCAACTGAAAGAGCCTACAACCAAAGACAAGTCCAGCAGTGCTAAGTCACCTGGCCCAGATCGTCTTTCTACCATTTCCCACTAATGGGAATTATGATTGCTTAGGAATGATTGATTATTTGTTGATATCAAAGATGAACCTGTAATATCTAGTCATACCAGAGAGAAAGCAATCAAAATCTACTGGGTGGTTTTAAAATAACTCAAGGATAAATCTCATATGGTCTCTACTGGCAAAAGTCCAGACAATTTGGACTTAAGAATAACTCAACACCCTGGCCGGTATGGTTAAGTTGCTTGAGTGTCGTCTTGTTCATCAAAAGGTTGCCAGTTGGATTCCTGGTAAGGGCACATGCCCAGGTTTTGGGTTTTGTCCCTGGTCTGGGAACATCTGGGAGGCAACCAACCGATTGATGTTTCTCTCTCTCCCTCTTGCTTCCTCTCTCTCTCTCAAATCAATAAAAACATATATATTTTTTAAAAAAAATAACAAACTGAACATAACACATATATTTAATTCCATGCATTCATAGTGATACAAAAAAAGTGATTGGTCCTCATTGTTCATCTTTATTGGTATTTTAAATGCATTATTTTAAAAACTAATGAAGGGAAAGAATCACACTTTCCTGCATTTCTTGAATAATTCTACGTAGAGAGACAAAAAGTCAACACGGAGAAATTTGCCTTTTTAGAAATATCTCAACTAATAATTAAAGGAATGTTTGCAATAGATAATGACCATTTTTCAAATCTTAATGAACTACAGTATAGCAATCATTATATATGGCTGACATAAAAAAAGATAACTTGTCATTGTATGTCTGCAAATGGAACTACACAATACCACCCATGAAATATTCTTGCCGAAAATATCTCAACAAGATTCTAGATTTAACTATCAACTTATAGGAAATAAGATAGGGAAATATGTGAAGTGGCATCACAGGACACAAATAGCAACAGTCTGAATGTGGGGAATTCTGTAAGACAAATGACCTGGTTTACTCAGTAAATAAATTGAAAAAATATTTTAATAGAGAGATAAGGAGTGGAGATCTGTAAATTTTTAAAAGCATCTCTACTAAGAAACATATGGGCTTTCTGGTAAATCACAGTGTAATCTCAGTGACATAAGAAACAGAGTATTGTATCTAGAAACTGGTGGGATATAGGTAGAGTAGCAGTTAGGAGCAAATGTATAGCCTTAATTAAAATCTTATATTTACCAATTATTTAGGAGTAAATGTATAGTATTTTTACTTAAAAAAAGGAATGTTTAAAAATTAAATTATGACAAAGTAGGGCTATCCCAGGAAAGCAATAGCTACTAGCAAATTAACGCAATATGCCCTACTAACATAAGGAGAAATATATTTCACAAAATAAAACTTTATAAATCTGATCCTTCAAATCTTAAATAAGCAATATGCATTTGCTACCATGAGTTTATTGACAATGCTAACAACTAATAGTCATTGATATGTGGTAGCACACCATGGTTAAAGATTTTTTACATGCCTAATTTATTTCTTGGAAGAATTCTGTGAGGTCGATATTGTAAGTTATCATTGTGAGCCCCTTTTCTAAGCTGTGGGATGTAAAGAATGGAAGCAGGCAGTATCACCCCATTACATATCTGGACCTAGGTGACTGGAGAGTTTGAATAATGTCCAAAACACATGGACATTAAATGGTACAACTGAAACTGATTTCCATTTAAAGAACATTTTTAATGACTTTTTTTTTAAAAAAAGGAATGCTACTATTTCATTTTAAGATGGAATCTTCCACTAATTGAATGTATAAATACACAATGAAATTAATGACTTTTTTTTTTAAGGAATGCTACTATTTCATTTTAAGATAGACTCCTCCACTAATTGAATGTATAAATACACAATGAAATTTAATTGGAACAGTAGATGGAAAATTCACATACTGGTACAGTGCAATAAATATAACCACATTATTTCATATAGTTATTTTTTTAAGTAGTTTCCAGGTGCCCATTCATCTACTATACACACTGGTTACCCCCTAAATCTTCACTTAACGCTCTATGCCAGAGATCACTGTAAGTCCCAGTTAAACACTAAGGCAAACGAGGGCTTGAGCTTACTTAGAAAGCAACTCAAATACTGTAGTTTCCTGTTTCCACAAGAGAGGCTGTAAGTAATGGCATGCAAAATTCTAAACTTCCCAATCATATCAGATAAAGTTATGAGATTGGGGGGGGTATTTATAGCAATTGGACTAACCCTGTAGATTCTGACACTGTCAGAGGAGTTTTCTTAATTTTCCTATTCCAATGTCTTATGGTTATATTCATAACACTTAATACTCTGAATAAACCACATTATGTTGTTGGCTGGAAGGGGTATTTGAAATCAATGCATTCAGCATCTTCAAAATGAGACCAACACGATTATGGGATTCAATTGAATGGCAAAGGTAGGAGCAAAAGCCAAGTAAAAGTAACAAAATAAATTTTGCGGGAATAGAATCACAAAGACAACTTTTTCAAATCTCTTTATTGTCAAAGAAGTAGAAGGTTAGATCCAGACAGATAAAGCTATCTGCCCTATCTACTTGTCAAATGAGCTTGTCAATTCAAATGCCTGCCTTCTGACTAACCAGTATATATTTTACATAGGAAATTTTCATTCCTTTGATTAGGCTCCTATTCATTAGACACTAATAATAGATAATCATACTATTATTTATGTGGGCGTAATTCTTGGAATTGGGACGTTCATTGTACCCTGGAAAAATTGAAAATGGAAAAGAAAGAAGATTCTAATAATACAAAATGTGTACATTTTATTGTGCTTTTTTTTTTAGTAGGATGGTAATTATTACAGTAATCAACTATCTGAGCCTACTCCTTTTTAATGGGTGGAAAACTTCCAGACTTTATTATTATTGGCTATTTTTAATAAAGTTTTCACTATGAAAGGAATACATTTCCATTATAAAATTCTGTAATATAAAGAAAAGGATGAAAAGTCATCCATAGCCCTACCACCCAAAGGTAACCACCATAAAATTTTTTATGTATTTTCTTTCAGAAATTTCACGTAAAAGTTTTTTATATCTGCATTAAAAGCTAATTTTAGTATAAGCCATTTTCCAAGTTATTACAAAATATTCACAACTTAATGGTTGCAAAAATTCTTTATGATTAATATACCCTGATTATTATGAAAAAAATAGTTCAATGAAAATAATCTAAGATTCTTTCAGGGTACAACCAAACTATCAGCATTTGTACCCAATAAAGATCCTAGCAAAATCGTTTTTTTGTCTGAGAGTCAAGAATATATTTCTTACATTCTTAGGTTAATATTAATTTTAAAAATAATTATTTTATTAAATTGAGAAATCAAAGAGAACCTTATAAATTATTTTTCAGGAAATAAAACATGAAGATTGTCTCAGTTAAAAAAAATTTTACACATTAGTAATATTAAGAAAGCAAATAAAATTAGAAGCTTACTTTCCATTTACCAATAGAAATAGATATTTCACATTATGTTTTGTTTCTACTGATTCATATGTCTTACCTTGTAAAGATGATTTATTGGAGGCAGTAACAGAAGTGGCTACAGAGGAGGGGGTAAAAGAGGGTAAATTGACTTAAAGATGATGTTTGTTCAAGTATATAACATCGCTGAGTTGAAATAGTTGTCTATAGGCTTACATAAAGCACAATCTCAGGATCAAGTGTGAAGTTCCCTATGCACAGAAGATGTAAGTAATTGCCTCCTTTACTAAGCTTTTTTCTCTCCTAATAAAACAGGTTCATATTGAGTAAATAAGCTTGCATTTCTCTATTGGACATCATGCAAACCAACATCATTTAATTTTAATACACTAAATTTTTCTTTATAGATTAATATTGAAAATTACTGGTATTTCTATTTAGAGAAATTTTGGAATTAAACTGATGCATTTTTTAAGCCAGTTAATTTTGGGTGCTGACCTTAGGAAAAAAAATTAGCAAGAAAGTTCCAAATTTGAATGATAATTAGGACTCCGCCAAAATCATGGTGAGTCTATAGTAATTCATGCTTGATTAGAACCATAATGAATTTACATGTAAATTTTTTATTTTCTGCTTAAATCTCCAAGCCACAAAGAATTAAGTTAAATTCCACTAAAAAAAGTATTCATAGGTAGATGGAAAAGTATAAAGTGTGATGATAGCTAAATAAGACAAGTTTTTATTTCAATTTCAATAATTGAAATCAAATTAAAATACATTATATTTTGTTTTCTCTTCTTAGTCCTAATGCCTTGTATTGACTTCTATCCATAGGATCCATTTAAAGTGCCATTATGAACTTGAGAAAAACTAGACATAAACACAATACACATATACATATATGCACATCCTGTCAAATGAATAAAACAAAAAGTCTTACCTCTGCTGATATCCATGGCATATAATTCTCTTAGTCCCAGGTCATTAAGAGATTTTGTCAAGTCGAGTGGCTCCTGAGACTGATAATCCTTCAACAACAGCGTATGTAACGGATCAAACTCACATTTGCTGCATATAATGGGGGCTAGTTCTTGGAGTGATGCATGTGGGCTAACTCTCACTATTGCCTTCTGCGTTTTCTTAAAGTTGATCACTACTCTCACAGTTTTCTGAAACACAGATTAAAGCCATAGTTAAACCATAATATACTGAAATAAACATTCTACAATGATGTCTAGAGCAATGAGAAATCTACAAGTATATATTCATACAATACACAGAATTTTTTATTTTAGTGTAAGATTTTTATTGATTAATATTACTTCCTAATTCAAATCAGATTCTTAGAAACAGTTTGCTTATTAAATATAGATTAGATTCACACCCTTGTGAATACTATAGTAAAGTATTAAGTCGATTTAAATCCAAAAAGAAACGGATGTCTTTGCTTTGTTCCTTAAAATATTTACTTTAAAATTAACAAACAGACATAATAATACTGAATTATGCATGTTTTATTCCATCCTTTATTTGTGGAATATTTACTTTTTAATAGTTTGTTAGATGTCAAAAAAGGGTTATTTCGTTTAAAACACTAACATTTTTTAACTTCTTTTTGAAATAAGTTAAATGAGACAATCCACACAAAGAAGTTATCATAGTGTCTGGCACATAGTAAATTACAATAAATAAACATTAGCTATCATTACTACCTATTGTCACTATTATTATTACTACTTTGGCTAATTTTAATATATTAGTAACTAGTTTTAAAGTGTTCCTTATTTATATAGTTAATGCTACTAATTCAAAATTATTGAGATTTTAAGCATCTGATCATTTTAATGTAACTGAATTAAATCCTGTATATAAATAGAACTTTGAAACATGTGACCATGCTAAGTGAAATCTACAGATCGCAGATCCTCAAACTTAACATGTATTCATAAAACTGAAACACCACATATTATGCCATGCTATCACATAAATAATACTATATCTAGATAAATAGCATATATATCTAGATATATAGTCTAATAACCTAATTAATATTCAACCACCTTTTATAGAGAGCAAGTATGTTTTAGGATTGTAAAAAAATTACCTTTATTTGTAAAAAAAAAATTTTAAGAATATAAAGAGCCCTAACCGGTTTGGCTCAGTGGATAGAGCATCAGCCTGCGGACTGAAGGGTCCCAGGTTCAATTCCGGTCAAGGGCATGTACCTTGGTTGCGGGCACATCCCCAGTAAGCGGGTGTGCAGGAGGCAGCTGATAGATGTTTCTCTCTCATCGATGTTTCTAACTCTCTATCCCTTTCCCTTCTTCTCTGTAAAAAATCAATAAAATATATTTTTTAAAAAATATATAAAGAAAATGTGGGAATATGTGCATTCAAGTCATTTGTAAATAAACTATTAATATATAAACCTTTATATATTTCCTGAAGTTAAAAATGGTTGGTGTTGTTGCTAATGAAAGAATATTTCTTGAAACCCATAAGCTTCTACCTCTATTGCTTATAAAGAATAATTATATAAAGAATTGATAATATTAGAATATTTTGGTTAAAATTTTTGCTTAAAATCCATACATTACAGAAAACTGAGCCATTGTGTAGCTCAAATGAAAAATAATGTATAAGTTAATAAGTTACGACCACCACTTTTCAAGTAAATGAAGCCAAAAATATTTTAATAAATTCCTAAACAAATGTCTTTCCTTTGTTTTAAGTTTATTTAGAGATAGAAGTAATGAGCCATGGAAGAAGTGAGCCCATGCTGCCCAGGAAACAAGTTTCAGAGTCAAAATAAGGGGAAAGAGAGAGAGATGGAGATAGAGATGAATTTTCATTAAAAAGTTCTAAAACCTTCCTGTACATATAAAATATGTTTTAAAAGAGTAGATTGAAATACAGATGATTCATAATTGTCAGATTCTAATACTGACATATAGATCACTTTAGAGCATCTAAAATCTAAAGTATTTCCCAAATTCTACTTAACCCAAGGATCAATAACCAACTGAATCCTAAAAAAAGTTGTCTATGAAAATATGACAGTCATGTTCACATCAAATTTGACCAGGAAAGGCAATTATATTTTATTTATAATGAACTAAAGATAATGGCTGGAAAAGCAACTTAGTATTTTAGCCACAAGATATCAAAATATACAGTGAAATTCTTACCTCTGGTATTATAGGTGTAGGTTTTTTCTTATCCAAAACTTTTGGCCTTAAAATTACTTTCTCCACCTCCAACATTCCTATTGGTGTGTTTGGCTTAAATTTAATGGGGTTCTTTTCAGCTGACAGCAGATCGATTGTGTAACTTGATGGATTCAAGTGATACTGGGCACAGAGGAATATCAGCAAATCCATCATAGGTTTACTGTAAAACAAAAGTAATGCAGATCATAAAACAATTTCAGCAACTGTTAAAGTTGACTGAGGCACTAAAACACTGTGTAAAGGTCCTATTTCCATGGGTTGACGTACAGGTTGACAAGTTTTACTTGAGGGTAAGCAGGTGGCCACTAATGTTTCCACTAAGATATTTAAATATCAGTAAAAACAAACAAAAAAACACACAAACTATTCTTCAATCTCATAACTAGAGAGATGATTCTGGCTATGGCTTTCCGACAGGAAAATGAGGCTAGGAATCTCCCTACTTATATGCCAATTTTAATTTAGTACATCTGTTCTCATATGCACCTAATCCCCATTCTCCTAAATGGCGTTCCCAGGTTTCTAGCTTCTCTGGTTCAGTTTTTCCAGCGAGGCAGTCTCCCACCAAGGAAGGGTAGTTGTCTGACATTGTGTAGTGTTGGGGTCAAAAATACTTAAAGATTCCCAAACCGTCCCCCATGTTCAGCTCCCTACCTCAACCTCAGCTTTGGTGGTTGTTGCCCAACCTCAGGCCATTCCAATCTCCATAGGATAAAGGGGTATGCTTTACAATAGTACACTCACCTCCCTCCCTCCCCCGCCCCTACATACAAGTGATACCTTATTATACATACATCAGGAAAAATGAATAAAAGACTTGAAGTCCCTCAGTAAAAAAAAAAAATGTTCTCTGGAATAAGTTTTCAGTCCTCAACATATGTTCACTATGTCTTTATTAGACGCTTTCACAATAATATTTAGAAATTTTATGTCCTTCTCTTGACATAACATGCTCATACATAAATTTGTTTACAGCTCAAATTTTTGCTTTGGATAGTACTTACCGTATTTGCCGGCGTATAAGACGACTGGGCGTATAAGACGACCCCCTAACATTTCCACTCAAAATACAGAGTTTGTTATATACTCGCCGTATAAGACTACCCCCTCTTCCGCACACCTTCCACACACCAAATAAAAGGTAAAACAATATCAGATTTGATTTTAACATTTTAATTTATATTCAAATGCTTATGACATGCAGGAAAACTGTCACAAGGCTGTATGTAATCAAACATATACATAAAACAGTGCAAGTTTATTACCGGTAAACATACCGGTAATTCACTAAAGAAAACACACTCTATAGACTGGTACCGTAGATGCTTCTCAGGAACACAGGCAAGCAGCCCACAACCTAGAGGGACTGTCAATGATAGAAGTAAGATAACAAATAGAGGTAGAGAGCAAGTGCCGGGCAAGTCCCTAGCAA